GCACCTTGTTGTCTCGGATTCTCCAGTTCCTACTATCTCTACCTCACCACCACCTGTTTAACGACTCCTCCACTGTTGCTGTACAAGCTAAAATTCCTTTCAATAAGGTATTAAAAAGACTGAAGTCATTGTTTTTGGTTTCTACTTGAAACTCCATTCGTTTGTCACCAACTCCATCCCTCTCCCTGACAACGTGAGATTAAGCCAGTCTGTTCACAACCTTGGTGTCACGTTTCATCTTAAGAAGCTAAGTTTGATCTGTCTACCTCTCATTTGTGCAATCATTAGGACCACCTATATTCACCTACATAACTTTACCCTTGTCTTGACCACATGATTGCAAAAACTCTCATTCTGACTTTGATGTCAGTGGACTCGACGATTCGCATGTCCATGTCTTAAATCACAGCATATTTGATTTCCATAATGCCCTTGTGCTCACTAGAATGCTGGCTCCTGGCCAGGCAACACTTTGACATTAAAATTCTTATCCTTCTTGATCCCTCCTGATCTTGTTCCTCCATCGCCCTGCAGTATCCTCCAGCCTTACAACCTTCTGGGTTATCTGCAGTCCACTAATTCTGAACTCTTGTATATCCCCATTTATAATTACTTCTGTGTTGGTGGCTTTGCCTTCAGTTGCTGAGACTCCAAGCTCTGGGATTGTCTGCCTACATCTTTCTCTGCCTCCCCCTTTCAGTCACTTCTTAAAAGCTACCTCTTTGTTCAAACGTCTGGTCATCTGGCTCAGTGTGATTTTTTTTATAATCTTCATGTGCCTTGGGAAGTTGTGTAACATTAAAAACATGACATAAATCGATTTTGCTTTTTTTGTTATTATCCCTTCCTGCAAGTTAGGCTTTAAGCTAGCCCTTTATTGCTTACATGATGACTTGCTACTGCACATCAAAGTGAGTCCCTCAATTTTCCTTTCCTAAGATGACTTTAGCATAAGTTGAGGAATGAAGCCCAAAAAAAGTCTCTTTTTAAGACCAAAACAAAGGAAACATACAAATATATTTCTCAAATTCAATCAAGGCTGTCAATCAAACATACACCTTAAATATGCACATTTTGAGGACTTTAAACCTGTACAACATGCCATCCTTTCCTGCCTTACTGCTGCCATAAGAGTCCAATTAACACATATCAGTCATGGCATTTTGAATTTAATGCACCAAGCTAGGTGGTACAGATTGTCAAGGTTATATATGCGTATCTCACTCACATCGCTATCTATATCAGACAACAGTAATGGTTCAGATATAACATCTATGAAAAGACCTATATTATTTTTACTTATTTATGTGAACAACAATTTTAATTCCCTGTGTAATGTGTTCCAAAGAAAAGGAACAAAACAAAACTCCCAAATTAAAAATGTCATAGGTATGAATACATTCAGTGACATCTCACTGTATAATCAGAGTTTCGTAAAGCCATTTTTTTTTCCGTTTAGTCATGGCTGATAAAGCTGCTGCTTGTTCTTGGCCAGTTTAGTCTGATGCAGAAATAATAACAAGGTTTCATTCTCTTTTCATATATCAGGTGGATAGTTCAGAGACTATGACTGATTCTGACACAGATAGTAAAGGCCTTCGGGAGTTCCATTCTATTGGAGTGCAGGTTGAAGATAATAAACGGTAAGTCATTTGTTTTAACTCAATAAGATGTGCCCATCATTTATTATTCATAGCATCATAGAATCACACACCTCAAAGACAATCAGCCATCATGTCCTCACTACTGTTCTTTCACAATAACCGTACATCTCTTCCCCTTGAAGTATATATTTAAATCCCTTTGAAAGTTGTTATTCCATCTGCTTCCAGCACCCTGTCAGGTGATGCAATTAAATGCGGAATCACTACTACAAGAATAAGAAACTTGAATATCGTTTCTATTTTTTAAGTCTTATCTTCCATAGGAAATGAAATTGTATTGGGCACACAGAATTTATAATGTCATATCATGTCTTCTTAACAATAGTCCCCTGGTAATAAATGCCATTTCCTCTGATTTACATTACTTACAACTAATGCAGTGCAATTTTTTGACTCATTGTTTGTTTGCAAGGAATCATATTTGCTTGCCAGATGCTTTTGCGTGAGGTCCATTGGCTATAATTCACCGATCCAATATTCAAAGATATCACTGGTCAGCAAATAAGCATTATGTCTTCAAAATGGTACTTGTGACTCACGCTTCCTGTGAATTTGGCTCCATCCTGGGAGTGCCAAATCAATAAATCACACTGTTTATTATGTTAAGGTATGATTTGTGGTGACACTCATTTCAACGTATAGAATTCTTTCTCATGAAACAGGAACAAAAAGCATTGGAAAAAAATTGCAGGACAGCTGTACAAGGGAAGAGAAGTGTTTGTTTCAGGTTGATGACTGAAAAAGATCATCTACCTGAATTGTGAACCCAATATCTCTTCACAGATTTCTATTTTTTTTTTGCTGCCTCTTCTCAGGGTACTTGTTTATCTGGAGGTGTGTTTCCATTGATGTCAGGCAACCTCCAGAACCAAGCTCAAGAGAAGCTATTCTTATCGTGTGAACTGGACAATTTTTAATGTAGCAGTTCATCATACCCAAACTTGCTCCCATCCTCAAACAATGTTTAAACATGTGCACAATCCCATTAGGATCAGCAAATAGCTGTCAGAAACCCAGTGTAATGCCCTATTGTTCCTCCTATCATGTCCCTGGGGTTCTCCTTGAGAAAGATTAAAACAGCACAGTATGAAAATCCAAAGCAGTTGACTTCATTCAATGCTCCTTTTGCCCACTTGGCCACTGTGGGGAGTTATTGGTCACTTGTACTGTAACACTTGGTCCAAGAATTATTCTGATATTGCAGTTCGCAGCATCAGCAAAGTTTTTATAGAGGAAGATCCACTCTCTAAAGGTTCAATTGAGAGGTTGATCCTCCGATTCATTCTAGAAAACTCTCATTTGTCCCCTTTTCTCATTGCAGTAGCAAGAAAGCACAGTATGTCTGCTCACATGCCAATACATGTTTGCTAGTCCATTACAAGTCATTGAAAATCCATTAGTATCAGAAGTGTTCCTTTAGCCTGTCGTGGAGTTCTCCGCATAGCTCTTCAGCCATCCTTATCCCACACTGGTGTGTTTAGTAATTAATCAGTGTCTTCCTTCAAGAAATCATTTTCCCAACTGGCTGTGAAATAAACAATTCTCTGCTACAAATAAATGATTTATTTCCCTGATCACCCCACATGAAATGAACATCAGTGAGAGCGAATGATGTCATGTGTGGTCCTTCGTACTTCTGATTACTCCAGAAAAGCATTCCCAGGAGCGACTGCCGCTCTGTGAGATACTTGAAGATTTTGGAATGAGCAATGTACTTCCATAGATGACACTCAACTTCTCCTCCCCGAGGCTATTGTTATTTTCTTTTATAGCTTGACCAAGATAAAGATCTGTATTTTCCTGCTAAATGTCAGCAAAATGCAATTCATTCAATTGGTAAAACAACAGAAAGGCCGGGAAATAGCACGTTCAGAGGCATCAGTGCACAGAGATGCAGAGTTATTGTTTCAGGCCAATGATCTACCATCAGAACTGCTCAGTATAGGCCTGCGCTTGTATCACTTCTACCCCTAACAAGTTCCAGTAGCTCTCAGTGCTTCAGTGAATTAACTTTAACATTCTCACTCTTCTCCTCAGAGACCCTTCATGGCCTTGCTGCACCCAATATCAGCTCCATTTCCCTGCATCAGCCCTCCAAGTATTCTCTTTTTTAGGCCAGCTCTTGAGATTTCTCAGCAGCTTCCTTTTGGTTTTCACAGGATCCTTTATCACTTCCGCTAACTTCCTCATTGCATAATCACAGACACCCTACAGTGTGGAAGCTGGCTATTTGTCCCATCATGTCCACACCAATCCTCCAAAGAACATCCCACCCAGACTCAACCCTTTACCCTATCACCCTGCATTTCCCAAGGCCAATCCATCTAGCCTTCACATCTTTGGACTGTAGGAGGTAACCAGAGCACCCAGAGGAAACACACATAGACACTGGGAGAATGTGCAAACTCCACACAGACAGTCACCCTAGGGTGGAATCCAATCCAGGTCCCTAGCACAGTGAGGCAACTGTGCTAAATACTGAGCCACTGCCGGCCTGAGTAACAATACTTTCTATATTTGTGTTAATATAAGAGGGATTTGAACTCTTGCAGAAGCAGAATGAGAAGAAATCAATAATATCCCTAATTGTGTTATTATTCCAATAAACTTAAAAACACATCATAGGAAGAAAACATTTATTTCCTAGGTATCACTGCATTTAAATCAACACCACAGTAAACATAAGTTAGCAACAAATGCATTTTTGAAAGAATAGCTGACAAACTTCTCTACACAAAAAGTTACTGCCCTAAACATGCTTTCCATGGACTGGTGAGATCCCAGCTAAACTATTGCATATTTATCTCAAACATAATAATTGCACCTCAAATAATCCATATATGAGGCAGTTTAAGAAATGATATTGCATAAATGCAAACTTTTCTGAAATGAACCAGTTCAGTATTAAATTATACAACTGACATAAAATTCAGACAATTGTATGTGCTACATTTTCCCTGTACAGTATCTCCTGAACTCCTGCAGCTTTAACCCAGAGCCTCCACGTTATTTTTTACAAAGAATTGATTACCACAGTTTTCTTGTTCCATATTAGGTGATGATACCTTTGTTGAAAGGTTTTAAACTGTTGTCTCCTCATTTCAGATCCTTTGTATTTTTAAAAATCTTTTAGTCTCTTTGCAGAACTTCTGCCCAATTTGCAGACTCTCTCCCCACATCCCTTCATGTAGCTCCTCTTTCCTCTCCCCATCCCATCCCCACCACCCCAGTGACAGGCTCTCTTCCTCCCTCCATAGCTCCTCTTGCCCACCCACCCATGTTTACCAACACTCCAGCTCACCCCACTTCACCTCCTCTCTGCTTCCCCAGATGCCCCAGCACTTCACAACCACAGCAGCTACTCACTTTGCAGCCACTTTCCAGTCCAATCCTTGGCATCACTCCCTGGCCTTTCGTCCTGGCCTCACTCCTAAGTCTCTATTCCCAGCTTTACTGGTCTTGCTTTCGAGCCTTCCCAAAGGGCTCACTTCCTCTTCTTGCCCTCATTCCCCTGGCCATGCTGACTGCTGCCATATTCCTCATTCCTCCAATCACAGGCTGCTTCTTTCATAAATAAAAACTGAAAGAACTGCGGATGCTGTAAATCAGAAACAAAAACAGAAGTTGATGGAAAAGCTCAGCAGGTCTGGCAGTATCTGTGGAGAAAAAAAAATCAGAGGAAGGGTCACTGGACCCGAAACATTAACTCTGATTTCTCTTCACAGATGCTGCCAGACCTGCTGAGATTTTATAACAACTGCTGTTTTTGTTTCTGTTTCTTTTCTAGTTTGCTGCTGATGAGTTCACAGTGAGCCTATAGGCAGCAAGCATAGGAGAAAACGAGCCTGTGATTGGGGAATCAGCCCCTCACCATTTCCTTCCGTACTATTTACAGGGTTGACTTTGTTCCAGTTGGTCAGCCTCGGGGTTGGATTTCCCTGGGTGATCTGGGAGCCTTTGGGACCAGTTCTGCCTGACACCCCAAGCACTTAGATTGCTGCCCTCCATCCACCTATAAATGACAAGTCAAAGAATACTTAAAGACAAACCAGGATCAAATAAAAATGAAACTAGAAATCTCCCAAGAGATGATGAAGGAAAGGTACTATCATCACTTTTTTACTGAAGGCTATAATACTGTAGGTGAATGAGTACAAGAGGAGGATTTGGAGCAATTAGAAAGGATAGCTATTAATAACGAATAAAAAGGGAGACCAGTAAATATTGATGGAAATGCCATTGAGTTCTGATGTGAAAATATATGGGTTGAAATTAGAAATAAGAAAGGGATGATCACCTTGATAGGATTGTACTATAGCCCCCCCAATGATCAGAGGGAAATTGAAGAGCAAGTAGGTAGAAAGATCTCAGATATATGTAATTATAATAGGGTTGTAACAGTAGGGGATTTTAATTTTCCTAACATTGACTGGGACTACCATAGTATTTGGATGGTGATAAATTTGTGAAATGTGTTCAAGAAAATTTTCTTTATCAAGATGTAAATGTTCCTACTAAAGAAGGAGCAAAACTTGACCTTCTCTTGGGAAATATGGCAGGGCAAGAGTCTGAAGTGTCAGTGGGGGAGCACTTTGGGACTAGTGATCATAATTCTATTAGTTTTAAAATAATTAAGAAAAAGACAAAGCCTTCCATAAAAGTTAAAGTTCTTAGCTGGAGTTAGACAAATGTTAATGGTATGAGACAAGAACTTTCAAAGGTTGATTGGAGTAGACTGTTCCCAGGTAAAGGGATGAGTGAGGCTTTCAAAATTGTGATAATGAGAGCTCAGAAGCAGTATGTTCCTGTTAGAGTGAAAGGTAAGCATGGAAAGATGAGGGAACAATGGATGAATACAGATATTTAGGTTCTAATCAAGAACAAAAAGAAATCATATATTAGATATAGACAACTGGGATCAAATGAATCTCTTGAGGAGTATAAAGAGTGTAGGGGTATTCTTAAGAGGGAAATTAGGA